ACATTTACTCTCTGGGGGGAAAAGTATATTTAATAGAATATTTTCTTTTTGAATGATGAAAAAGTTTATTTATTTCTACTTAAAAGTAGGTTCAACTCAAATGAGTTTATTTACTAGGAACTTCTGAAACACCGAGGTTGAACAGAGGATGGGAACTAGACAGATCATTTCAGCATAGACGGATACTTTCCCTCTTGCAGGAAATGTCAATTACTGCTTTCTTTCTCCGCTATGCTCAATCCTTTCCAAGGCAGTCAGAGAGCTCTCTCCCTTCCCACTGAGAGAGGATCTTCTCCGGTAGCCTTTGGACTGGGAAGCAGCTTTAGCATTTGCGAGTGTAGACACACAAAAGCTCTTCCTCCTCTTACCAGGTTCATCAGAAGAACCAGCAGCAGGGCCCTGGCTGTTTTCTTGATCTGAGATGGGAGGTGCCATTCCCGGTTTTTGTCTGGAGGGCACAGTTTCCTTTCTGGGACACATACTGTCAAATCCACTACTGTCAAATGTACTTATTGTTCTTCTTTTAGCTTTTTGGGAAGTGGTAGGAAGTCGAAGTGAAATCCACACAAGCCCTTCGTCTTCCAACTCTTTCTGTAGCCTCATGCTACGGCGCACTTTGATTTCACTATTTCTCCTCGGAAAGGTTTGCTCAATGGTGTCAGACAAATCTTTACACAGTTCAGAATTTTCTAAACTAATTTCTACAGAGCTGCCCACACTGTAGGAATGTGTGTGACTTCCATTTTTTTCCAAAGGTAAACTATGACCATCAGAATAACACATGGAGCGTCTTCTATGTTTCCTGTCTCTGCAGCTCATAACGCTGCTACTTTCCATGGGTATTCTTCCCAAATCCTCACTCTGGCTTTTAGATTCTTTCTTATTTTCAATTAAGACATCTCCTAAACAATGACAGTCTATTTGTGAGTTAGGCATTAAATGATTACATTGCAGTTTTCCTTCTGCAGCTACTAAGAGGTCATCTTGTCTTTCACCCTTTATGTTTAGATCTGGTGAAATTTGGAAGATGTGACAAAGGGTTTCTGCATTTTGACCAGCAGCAGCAAATTCTTGACCCTGCTGCAGGATCAGAGCAGGTTTGGGACTCTGTAATGCCACACGTTCTTCAGTTACAGAAGCACAACAAACAGGACCATCAGCTCCACCTTTGGGTTCATTTTCACTTTCCGACTTATTTTTTGCTTTTGGAATATTTTTATTTTCATCAGTGTTCATCATATTTGTATTTGGGTCTTCATCAGAAGCAGTATTACCAAGTGATGAGGAACTTCTTCCATAAGAGGAGGATACAGAGGCTTCATATTTATCAAAGCCTTGACACATATGCAAATCTGGGTCCTGAGGCAAAAGATCCTTTCTTTTCACCAGATTTTTAGGAGCCTTCACTTCTTCCAGTTTGCCATTTGAGTTGAAATAACCTATGGGCAGGTAAATAAGTTTAAATCTAATTAAAAAGTAACAATGGGAACGAACTTTACATTTATTAAATAATCAGGTGCCCTGTTTTGTTTTTGTATTTTCAGCTTTCACAAGACCCACAAAAGTTACAATGTACTCGGCCATCTGTCATCATCCTCTTCTTTTAGCTCTTCCACGATCCACAAGTTAAGAAAATAGGTATTCAATGCATGAATTAATAAAGCATATAACCTCAAACCATGAAAATGAGAATGGCATCTGATACTGCTCCCTCCATTCTAAAATCTTTCCCCTGCTACAAGGTCCATTAGCACAAGACAGCAACGTTTCCCCATTTCCCTGAAAATGGGCAACATGATGCTTCTGATACTTTCTATCAATGTATCCTCCGAAACAGAGAAGGGAAAATTTGCAATTCTGGGTTACTTGAGGACTAATGAACTAAACCAGCATGCCTGAAGACACTCAGGTCTCATGCCCTCTGTTAAAAATTACTGTAAAGTACACTGTACTCTCAGACAGAACCATGTTTGTTTCAATATTCTCAAAATCAACCCCTAATTCCTCAGACTTTGACTAATTATCCTCTAGGAAAACACACATGGGTAGCCTTTCATGTGTTTCCGGCACATCAGAGGTGGGAAAACCATCATCCAGGTTCTTTAGATTGGTAAGTAACACAGCCCACATGAATTCAGGCTTTATGAGTTCTAAATCTTAGATCTATTAGATGGAATATTTTTGGTTATCGCAGATCATGTTTTCAAGTGGACAGTCAGATGAATAAAGTGTTTTAAACAAAATAAAAACTAAAAGATGCACAAAACATAACGCAAGCCAAAAGTGTGAAAAACAATGTTTCCATTTAAAAATACATCTATAATTAAGGTACTTAAAATCATGTCATTTAAAGCTACAGATTAAACAGGTGAGTGTCCTCTCAATGCCAACCACTGTTAGTTGGGCTCTTTAGACAGCTTTAAAAATTGATATTTATGGCTGGGCGCAGTGGCTCATGCCTGTAATCCCAGCACTGTGGGAGGCTGAGGTGGGCAGATTACCTGAGGCCAGTAGCTGAAACATCATCTCTACTAAAAATACAAAATTAGCCGGGCATGATGGCATGCGCCTATAGTCTCAGTTACCCAGGAGGCTGAGGCAGGAGAATTGCTGGAACCCAGGAGGCAGAGGTTGCAGTGAGCCAAGACTGCATCACTGCACTCCAGCCTGGACAACAGAGCAAGACTTCATCTCAAAAAAAATAAATTAATATTTATGTATTTTGTATAAAATCCAACATACTAGAGAAGGAAGGTAAAGGAGATATAGGGAGAGAGGAAAGGAAAAAGAGAAGGAGAGAGGAAAGGAAAAAGAGAAAGAAGGAGAGAGAGAGAAGATGAAGGAAGGAACTGAATTGCTGTAAACCCATATAGCTGGTGATACCACCGGTTATAGATAAAAAACGCTTCAGGTATTTTTAAAAAGAAATTCTCTAATAGGATGCGAGACGAAAAATTTTACCACAATCACTATTTAAACATCTTTTGAAAACTCCCAGTTAGGAAATAGAGATGAAATGAAAATAAAACTTAGTTTCCACTGTCAAGGAGACTGAAGTTTTAGGGAGCAGGGGAACACGGAAAATAGATCATAAAGCCAGGTGATGGAAGTATGTCGCAGAGTATTCCTGGAAAAAGAGACAGTACAGCCAAATCTTGGAAGATAAGCAACATTAGGCCAGATTAAAGAGCTAGAGTGGTGGATCCTCTGTTGCAACGCAGCCTGTGAGAAAGCATGGCAGAAGAAGAGTGTGAGCCACGGCGTGGGCGACAGAGAGGTGGTTATTTATTTAAACTCCTGTGCTATCCCAAGAGTCTATGGTGGCATGTACCTCACTCATCCTCAAGTCTATTATTAATCTTGTATAGTATACTGTAAACAGGAGGCAGGCTATAAATATCTAATGACTGACAAAGGTACCCATTTAAAAAATGATTCTATACAAAATCAACACACCAAGTAGACACACATCATCATTTTCAGGAAAGGCAGGGTGGGTCGTGCCTGTAATCTCAGTACTTTGGGAAGCTAAGGTGGGAAGATTGCTTGAGCCCAAGAGTTTGAGACCAGTCTGGGCAACATAGGGATACTCCATATCTACTAAAAATCAAAAAAAAAAAAAAAAAAAAAAAAAAAAAAAAATGATTTTCAGCAAGAGTCAGTCCATTTAAAATTTTGGCATTAGAAACCAGAAGCGATTCCAATCCATTTTTTATCTACCCAGTATATCAACTGACTTGCTAATAAAATAACTTTCAAGTTAATCAAGATCAATTTATATGTGTTATTTTTAGAAAATGCTCAGTAGCGCCAACTCTAACAAAACATCATTGTCCTTGACTCATACAAGGTGTATCTGTTACTGAACCATCAGCTCGTTCACTTTTTTTGTTTTTGTTTTTTTAAGAGACAGGGTCTTGCTATGTTACCCAGGCTGGCCTCGAAATCCTGGACTCAAGCAATCCTTCCGCCTTAGGCTCCCAAATGGTTGGGATTACAGGTGGGTGTTCCAGCTCTCATTCACTTTCAATGATGGATTACACCACCCAATGGAATTTATTTTCACAAAATGCTTTAAAAAGCCAAAGGAAACGGGATGCATAGAGATTATTACTAGTATTATATGCAAAACCTTGTGTCTCAGTTTTTCTGGGGAAAGGATCCAGAGTTTCCATCAGAGTCTGAAAAGCATCTCAGCCACCTACAGGTTACAAGTCACTTTCCTCCACTTGAAATTCTCATGCGAATGCGAGGAAATGCTGCTTTTTAAATTTACGTACTCTTTACACAGTGAATGGGAAAAACACTGAAAAAAGTGAAACAGCAATGAAGAGGGCAAAGAGAAAATATAAAATACAACTCCCAGGAAAAGGATAGGATACCTGAACCTAGTCTTCGGACGCTTGGAACTGAAGGTGTCATCGCAGAGACTTCAGGCAGCTCAGGAATAGGACTGAGGAGGGGCTTCTTAGAAGCAAAGTCTCTTTCCCCATATATAGACTTCTGAACACTTTTCTTTCCCTTTCCTTTCTTCTTTCTGCAACTTTTTAAAACCTGAGAAAATGCATTAAAACATTGCAATTGAGAAAGACGTAGTACCATGTGAAATTTTGACCCTTTAACTTTTTTGAGACAAGGTCTCACTCTGTCACCCAGGCTGGAGTGAAATGGTGCGATCTCGGCTCACTGCAACTTCTGACACCGGTGCAAGCCATATTCCCACCTCAGCCTCCAGGGTAGCTGGGACCACAGGTGCACACCACCATGTCTGTTTTTTATTTTTTATTTTTGGTAGAGATGGGGGTCTGTCTCGTCATGTTGCCCAGTCTTGTCTTGAATTCCTGAGCTCAAGCAATCCTCCTGCCTTGGCCTCCCAAAGTTCTGGGATTGCACGTGTGAACCACCATGCCCAGCCTGACCTTTCAACTTCTATAATATTTCTCATTATTGTTTATACGGTGCTTTATTTAATAGATAATTTTTATATTTCATTTAAAATTGTAAGCATCTGAATTGAGGGTAGGGAGTCAGGTAACTTCCACAAAGTCCAGTAAACGACAAAGCAGAACTCAGTTTATACATCGTATGGTAGCTTTCTACATTTCCACAAAGTACTTGTCAAAACAAGAGCTGGATAAATTTAAAAATATATGAGATGCTTTAGAACTAACTGCACGGATGTAATGTCGTGAGATATCTGTAAGAAGCACATAGTTGATGACACAGGATGAACGCAGTGTGAGTTATACGCTGCAAGCTATGGAGACTGCTTTATGTTCCTAGGTCTGGATGAAGAAACAGTAGGTGTGTATGTAAAATACGAAGAAAACACAAAGCTAAGCTGAATCTGCAGATTCAAACAACAGATGAATTAATCAAGATTCAGTCAAAACAAAGTGGATTTAACAAGCGCAAACAGAAGATGGAAGACAAAGGTCTGAAATTAATTGATGGAAAATGTAGGCTTCCATAAAAATTGAAAGTCGCTTAACAATATCCAGAATGCAGTATTACATTCAATTCTGAGTGCCATATCAGCAACTAAGAAATAATGTTTTTTTAAAAAAATTTCGTATGGAAAAGACTTCAGGGAAACTCAAAATGCTGTAGTGAAATGCTAGAAAGAAAAACTGTTATGAGTAAAAGGAATGACATATATTTAATGTGATAATGTTGGAGAGAACCAGACTTTAGGGCTAGCATACAACATATTAACAATTAATACATCCAGAAAATACATCCAGAATTCATTCACAAATTTATTGAGACTGTCATTTGCCAGCTAATGACTTGCCAGGTGTCGGATCTACAAGCAAAGAGAATGTGTTCTTCAAGGAGCTGCTGGTCTAAAGGAAAAGAGTTACATATGTATGCACCATGCCAGACTGTGTGAACTGAGAAGATGGTACCAGGCCTGCAGGAGGTGTTCAAGATTGGTGCCACAGGAAATGTAACGTCTAAAGCAAATCTCAAACAAGCAAGGGCTGTTTTGGCCTATAATGGGCTTTTCAAAGAGAAGGGAATGCCACGTGCATGAACTCAAACTGAGACGGCACAGCACAGGTGCAGGGCTTGCGTGCAGCAACACGCGGCCAGTGGATCCATGGGGGAGCGGCAGGAACAGAGCCCTGGTCACGATGACTTGAGTAAAAGCAATGAGGGCACACCACATGGCGACTTCAGGACCGTCAACGTTTGACCTTAAATTTAAGAAAGGTCATTTGGATGACAGCACAGAATACTTAGGTGAAATTAATGGTGAGATTCAAGAGTACAGAAATGGCATGAAACTATGTGCTCCCTGAGATATCTATAGATGTCCTCTGAAAACAAAACATTCCACAGAAAAATAATTTTAGAATTGTACAAGATGAATGTTCTTTCTGGTGATTTACAGTATACATTTAACATGAAATTCTCTGAGAATTCCACAGTATAAATAATCTCTAGATACATTAGGAAAATGCTGGGTTAAATCTTTTTCCATTCAATATTTTTTTCATGGAACATCTGTTGACATTCCAGGGAACAGTTGGGGAAATGCTGGCTTGGTCAATGAACCTGAAAGCCAAGAGAAAATAAAAATCTGAACTTGGGGCTCGCAGATAAGTTGAAAAATAAAAAATTGGCCACTGGTGGCAGACATTTTGTTAAAGACCTGACTCTGTTACTTAAGTGCTTTATAACCTTGGGCAAGTTACCTCAACTTTCTGCACCTCATTCTCCCCTGCAAAATAGGAATCACAACAGCACACTCCACAGAAAGCTGTGGTGAGTATTAAATGAGTTGACATGTAATATAGTTGGTTAATTAGGGCCTGATCCAATGGTAAAAGCTATCTTGTCCTTTTAAATTATTTTCCATTGCTTTGAGAGTTAATATGAGGAAAAATATTAAAAGGTTTTTTATATTTTTAGCTAGGCATGGTGGCACACACAGCTCTGCAAGAGGCTGAGGTGGGAGGACTGCTTGAACACAGGAGGGTGAGCTGCAGTGAGTTAAGATTACACCACTGCACTCCAGCCTGGGCAACAGAGTGACCCTTTTTAAAAAACAGAAAAAAAAAATTTTTAATTGACAAAAACTGACTATATGTATGGCATGTAACATGAGATTTGATATATGTATACACTGTGGAATGGTTAAATCAAGCTAATTAACATATCCATTAACTCACATACTTTTAATTTCTAAGATTAAACTATGCCTTAGTATTATTATAGGGCACAGGGCCAGTGTGGTCAGTTAATACATTATAGGCACTGCCACCAGATTATAACCTCCAGAATAGCTTCTGATTTATGGATTTAAAAAAAAAGACTTCATCACGTGATTTTGGAAATCATGTTGCTGAATGTACAACAGTGCCTAACACACAGCAGCTACTCCACAAACAAGAATGAATGAAGGAATGAATGGTCAAAGAAGTACAGTTAAGCTTAATAAAATTTGCTCAACGTAATTGAAAGACTCAACTTGTTTTTTCATGGTTATGAGCCAACAGAAGTGTATTACCACCCCTCATCCTGCAGAATCAACAATTAAAGCACCTCAGGTCTGTCTGTCCTGAAAATGTATCTGGCAGTGCTGATCTCAGTCTTGAGAAGATTTTATCAAAGGCCAGAAACTTATCAAAACCTGAATTTACCACAGTATAAAAGCCTTGCTGATTGTGTAATACACAGAAGCAGCTATATACGATTGGAAACCTCCCCCTCGACGGGAAGCCATTTGATCGAGAAATGGTTAGGATGGGTTATGGCTTACAGGGACTGTCCCTAAAGCAATTCCATTTACTCCAAAATCACTGATGCCTCTCCTCACACAATGAAGGAGGTCAGGGAGCAGAAGTAAATGTTCATCTTTTGTCTTATTTGCATAATTAAGACTTCTTTAAATTCTTTTCAGAGAATAGCTTTAAATTATTTAAAAATAACTCAGGCTGAAGCGGTGGCTCATGCCTTTAATCCCAACAGGCAGAGATGGGTGGATTGCTTGAGCTCAGAAATTTGAGACCAGCCTGGGCAACATGATGAAACCCCTTCTCTACCAAAAATATAAAAATTAGCTGGGTGTGATGGTACGCCCTGTACTCCCAGCTACTTGGGAAGCTTGAGGCAGGAGAATCACTTGAGCCTGGGAGGTAGAGGCTGCGGTAAGCTGAGATGGAGCCACTGCACTCCAAGCTGGGTGATAGACAGAAGATCTCAGAAAAAAAATAATTCATGGACATGGCAACAAATCACACCATACAGGAAAGCTTCCCGTGATCAAGCACATGCTTCCCTGCCCCTGGGGCTCACTTATCGACTGGGTCCACTTTTAGCTCTTGCAGTTAGCTCCCTCTCTCTAAGGGGCTCACACTGCTAATTTTTAACTTTTTATAATGAAAAATTTCAAACACCCAGAAAGTACAGAGAATAGTTTATTGAATTCCATGTACCTTTCTGCTAACGTCAACAATTACCAGCATATAGAAGTAATTCACTTAAACTCCCCTAGCTCCAGACTATCTTAAAGCAAATCCCAGATGTTACACATCATTTCATCTGAAAATCCTACAATGTCTTGAAGAGCTAAAGGTTCTTTTTCTTTAAAGACAATTACAAATATGGTTCAACAACAAAAAGAACTACTGACATACGTTAACAACCTGGACAAACCTCCAGAGAATTATGCTGAGCGAAAAAGCCAGTCCCAGAATTACACAGTGCATGACTCCATTTAGGTAACCTTTTCGAAATGACAAAACTGTAGGAATGGAGAAACATTAGTGGTTGCCAGGGGATGAGGCGGGGTTATGAGTAGGAAGTGGATGCAGCTGCAAAAGGTCATGTGAGAGCTCTCTGGATCTCGACTGTATCAATATCTTGGCTGTGACACTGAACCATGGTTTTGCAAGATGTCACAACTGGGGGAAACTAGGTAAAGGGTACTTGGGATCTCTCTGCATTAGTTGTTAGAACAGTGTGTGTATCTAAAGTTATGGCAAAATTAAAAATGTACACCAGGCGAGGCTCATGCCTGTAATCCCAGCACTTTGGGAGGTGGCGGCAGCAGTGGCGGCAGATCGCCTGAGGTCAGGAGTTTGAGACCAGCTAGGCCAACATGGTAAAAGCCCATCTCTCCTAAAAATACAAAAATTAGCTAGGCATGGTGGTACATGCCTGGAGTACCAGTTACTAGGGAGGCTGAGACAGAAGAATCACTTGAACACAGGAGGCAGAGGCTGCAATGGGCCTAGATCTGTCCCCCTCAAAAAACAAAACAAAATGTAATTCAACAAAACACAATAACCATGATGACAATTTTCCCTAGTATCTCCTCAAAGTTCAAATTTCTCCCTTGGCCCGTAATTTTTTTTTTAAACATCTGGTCTAATCAGGACCCCAATAAGATCTCCACACATCCCATTTGATGAATATGTCTTTTACTCTTATTCTATGGCTCCTTCTTTTACTTCCCTTGACATTTATTTGGTGAATCTATGCTGTGACAATGACAGGATTTCTTTAAGGCCAAATAGCATTTCCTTGTGTGTGTACACACATATTTCTTTACCCATTCATCTGTTGATGGATACTTAGCTTGAGTCCATAACTTGGTTACTGTTCTTCCATATACTGATTTCATCTTCTTCGGATACATACCCAGAAGTGGGATTGCTGGATCATATGGTAGTTCTATTTTTAATTTTTTGAGGAACCCCCATACTGTTTTCCGTAATGGCTTGTGAAGATGGATTATTTGGAGTTGTCATGTCATAACCAACTACAGTCCAGAGACCAGGGGAAGAAACACTTTGGATTGTAAGACTAGATTTAACTACCACCATCACTCACCAGTCAGAGCTTACCGGCTCCCCAAAACTCTGCTTAGGGCCAGTGAGTTTTCTTTCTAAATAACATGTAACATTTTTCTTTCTACTAAACATCCCAACTTTTTTTGTTCTTCAGACATATCAAACACCACCTCAGTCTGTGTGTATGCCTCAAATGGCAGTTATGTTTTCCCAAATAAAACATTTTGTTTAGAGATTTAGCTCTGTATTTTTAGTTGACTCTGCCAATCAAAACAGGCTGCAGGAATTTACATTCCTACCCACAGTGTAGAAATGGTTCCCTTTTCTCCATATCCTCTCCAACACTTGCAATCTTTCATCTGTTTGGTAATTGCCAGTGATATCTAATTGTGGTTTTAATTTGCATTTCCCTGATGATTAGTGATGTAAGCCATTTGCATGTCTTTTGAGAAACGCCTATTCTGGACCTTTGTCCATTTTTAAATTGTGTTTTCTTGCTTTGAGCTGTTTGAGTTTCTTATATATTTTGGCTATTAACCCCTTATCATCAGATGTATGGTTTGTAGTGACAGTATCTTCTCCCATTCTATATGGTGTTTCTTTCCTCTGTTGATTGCTACTATGATGTCACATCAGCCTTTTATCTAATGTTTTAGCAGCTTTGTTGAGCATTTTTTATTTATTAGCTGAAATTCTTCTATAAACAACTTTTCCCTCATCAACTATTTGTTTACCCGAAATAGAGTTCAAATCTTATTTTCCCGTTATCAAAAAAAATGAGTAGCCTGGCAAGCTTCTACAGTGGCCATTCCTTAAAAAAAAAAGTGATAACAAACGTATGTGTTATTTCATGATTGTACTTTAATGCCTTGCAATGTGGATGGTCTTATCTGGTCAGTGGAAGCCCCCTGAAGATGGTTTTGTGTCCGTTAACATAACACTATCAGTTTTCTTAACATCGTTCTTGGTACTCTGGTACAGACTCAGCCAGGCTAGCTTTCTAGATTTGTTGTAAATCTGAAAGCAGCCATTTCACCAAGGGACCCTAACCCCTTTTAACTGGTATGTCTAACGACAGTCTGGGAACCAGGGATGGCCATGAATCTTAAGCTTTATCAGCGGACAGAATGGGACAATTCTTTTAAATGGAAAATAACATGAGTTTTTACTCTTATTTTTAATTCAAATTTAGTCTAATGAAGTTTTAAATTTCTTCGATTTAAAAATTTATCTTTTGTCTCTTAGCTAACATCTTGATTCTTAATAAGGGGAAAAATGCTTATTTGATTTATTCTAAATTGAGTGCTTCTATTAAGTGTTTCATACTGTTTATAATTTCTTCGTACTTATCTTTGTCCTTAAGATTTATCCCCTTTATATTCAAATTTCTAGGTTTGAAAAAAATTTTAATGAAGTTAAGCCACCAACTTCACGTAGCAAGATTAATTTGTCAAATTTTGCATTCACTTTTTAGAGACTATTCTCTTTCTCCTCGTTTTGGTTTATTTCATAGTGAGGTAAAACATTTACATGGTGGTCCCACAGTCAAAACTTAAACACAGTACACACTTAACCAAGTCTAGCTTGCATTCACATTCTCTCCTGTCTCCTCCCTTCTCCCTATAGCCAGTTTTTTATTTCTCTTTGGCTTACTCTTCCACTTAAAACAAAAATTAAAACACCCTATATATGTGTGTACGTATATACATAAACCATTATTATTTTTTAACGTTCTCTAGTTTCTTAGACAAAGGGTAATGTATTAGTTTGTAAGGCTGCTGCAAGAAATGTCATAGACTAGATAGTTTAAACAACAGAAATTAATTTGCTCTGCTCTGGGGCTGACAGTGTAACATCAGGATGTTGGCAGGCCTGGTGACTCTTGAGCCCTCTCTCCTTGGCCTTCAGATGGCCATGTTCTCACTGAGTCCTCACATGGTCATTTCTCTACGCACATGCTTCCCTGGTGTCCCTTTGTGGGCCCGAATTTCCTCCTCTTATAACAACACCAGTTAGATGGATTAGGGCCCACCCTATGGATCTCATCTTAACTACAAAGTCTCCTTGATTCTCTTGTTTCCACTCATTCTTTTGCTCTACCTTCTGGGAGACATTCCTTAACTTTAATTCTTCTGTCCAACTACTAAATTTTATGTTTTTGCAATTCCTTTTTCATAACATCTTACTTTTATTTGGGTCATATTTTCTTAAATTGGAATAGAGTATTTATTTATATAAAATTTCCTTCTATTCTTTGAATAATCTATTTCTCTGACGTCAGTCTTTAACCTTAACATCTCTTTCATGGTATTTGTTCTATTCAACTGTCTGTTTCCTATTTAAGATTGGTAAGCTAGTATAGGTCTCCTCTGCTTTCCAGCTCAGTCTCTTTCCTGCATGAAAATCCTACCCAGGAATTCTGTGGTGCAGGGCGGGGCACAATGGGGAGTGTCAACTGTCAGGCTTTGCATTAAGGCAGGAACTGGTTGTCAAGATTGTGGGACTTTCCAAATGCCAGAATGAGGGCTTTAACCTAGATGACAACATCTGTTCTGAGCATCAGGGTGGGAGGGGGATGGCATGCCAACTGGTGCAAACTGTCCCACATACAGGACTTCAATTCATACCTCAGTTTTTCAGTACCACCTCTCACTGTCACCATCCATCGTACCTGCCAATTCTGGGCCAGGGTCTCTTGGGATTCCCACGAACAGGCCAGCTCCCAGCCCCTCTGTAGCTCCCTCCTAGCACATTCTGAGCTGTAAATCTTTCCACCTTTTTTATCTGTCAACATATTCCCATCTGCTAGGTCTTCTACAAATTCATTGAAGGCTGTCGTCTGTTGCTTAATACCCCTCCCCATTCCTTTCCTCCTCTCATTGCTATTCTAAGTCTATTCCTTTTATTACATAAATTGTATTAATTCAGCAAGGTCCAGGGTGGGGATTGCAGTGAGTTAATGCTCAATCCTTTTTGTACTTTCCGGCCGTAATTTTACATGAATAAATAGGTGCATATTAACAGTGCTTTAAAACTGTGTACACACACACACACACACACACACACACACACACACACGAAGAAAACTGATTTCTAATGTGGTAAGCTGTATGCGTATTTTTGAATTAATAGTATTTTTTTTTCAGCAAGATAATCTTTCATCATTTTATCAGGAGTGTGTGACCTAAAAAGGAAAAGCAGAAAAACACCCACTTTCTTCTGGATTTTATGACTTAAGGATATCCGTGCCATTCAGCCAAGAAAAGCAGTCATTTTTATTTCATGGAGGAGGAATGAAGTTTATAGAATGTTTTGGGATGCGTGTGGACGGTAAGTCTGCTTTTAGAAATATTCATTTTGACATAGCATGGTTAAAGACAGATGCCTAGTAGGTAGTTGAACACAGATTTAAAGATCAGGATGTTTTGGTCTTCATATATGCTCACTAACCATGCTGTATATTAAATTACTCAGAAAATAAATAATTTACAAGGCAAAGAGGAGAATTCTGGAAAATACAAATATTTAACAATGAGGGACAGAAAACAAATCTTAGACAGACTGTACAGGAGTGTTCCACCATGTCAAATGCTACAATGTCCAATAAGAACAGGACTGAAAAGCATGCACTGGCTTTAGAGTTAAAAATAAAGTGAAGTGGCAAAGTGGTGAAGAGGAAGGCCAGATGGCAGTGAATGTGTAGGAGTACTACCCCCAACTCCTGTGTGAGAGTCTCTGTCAGATGGGGGAGAGGATAACTCAGTCTGACTGGAAATTTTGCTGGATAGATGAGGTGGAAGGAAAAGGACTTAGAATTGAGATTCCTGATAAGAGTTGGAAACATTTCACTCAGTTCAGGATGAAGAGGCAAAGGTGAACTTAAGGTGTATCTGAAAGCTTTGTAGTGCAGAAGGAATGCCTTCTGGGAATGAGTAGGCTGGATGGACAGGATGATGGGGTCAGAGAATGAGCATTGCTATAAGTGCAAAGGTGTTAGGCAGTAAGAAGTTGCAGGAATGGCAGCAAGAGTGAGTAGGTGGCTTCAGAGCAGTGGAGTCCAGATCACTGAGCTGGAGAAGGAAAAGGAACTGGGTTAAGGTGTTAAATTGGCTAACCACATGGACGGTAAGGATATTTGAGGTGACGAGAAGTGTTAAGAAAGACTGAGAGCTAGTTTCTTCATTTCTCCTTAAATATAGGGAAAAACTGGATTCTGCAACTAGAAGAAGAGAATCTAACAAGTAGCAAGTGGCGCACTCATCCCTGTCTAAAACACTCCAGTTTCCCAATAGGGTGAGATGTTAGATTCAAAGAGGAGAATCAATTTCAGCTTTGAGTGCCTATTAATTTACTGTGCAGGACATACACAACACAAGATGATAAAGAAGATGCAAAAGTATCCCTTAGGTAATTCAGAGTTAAGTATATAGCTCCCCCACCCCGCCCCGACCTCCCTCCACGCACCACATACTACTCCATAAGACTGCATTAATAATCTTGGTCCAATGACAACTGGAAAAAAAGTTTTTCTATATTTTCCTAATCATACAATAAGGAAATGCACCACTTCTACTCTGTATTCTATCTTTAAACGCATGCTTACCTGATTCTTCTTAGGAAGTGCTCTCTTTGTACACTTTGTTTCTTGAGACTTCCTCCTATTAATTTTCTTCTCTTTACAAGGCTGAACTTCTGTATTCAGTAAGTTGCAAACACTCTCTTCTACAAAACTGACCAACTGTTATAAATAAAGTTTAAAGTGAGCATACCATAAATCACAGCAATTACAAGTTAATGTGCAGCTCTCACTCTTGTTGTGCTTCCCAGGATATTTCTACCACTTTAGATCTCATTTCTTAATTTACAAATCCTATTAAAAGGACTTTAATGAAAATTGGTGGAAATGGTAATTGCCAATTTCTAAAATATCAAACGCAGACCCAGAAGCATATATACATTACCCAATTATATTATGGAAGAAAGAAACACAGTTTAAGAATTCATTAATTCATAAGAAAGAAAACACAGCTTAAGAATTCATTAATTCATTTATTCATCAACTACTCATTAATAACCTACAATTTAGCACCTAACTGCTGGGTTATGGGGAAAAAAAAAAAACCCATGAATTTTTAGATTATCTAGGTTTGAATCCTAGGTTTAACATCCAACCCTATGAGCTAAATACCCTATGACAGTATATATTTATACTTTATGATGTTATAAACAAAAATCCAAATTTTATTTAACAAAATGGCAATTTCATCTCAATGAAATTCATAAAATCATACAGATCTCAAACAAATTTTGTTAACTTCCACATTAACACAACTCTGAAACCATCCCATTTTATTAGATTTTTCTTCTAATAGAATTAAAATCAAATCAGAAACACGTAATCACTTTATATATTACATGTTAGACAGGATAAAGTATTAGCTTTGGCACCATCGTGGGTCACTGCAATCACCACTTCCCTGGTTCAAGCAATTCCCCTGCCTCAGCCTCCCAAGTAGCTGGGATTACAGGTGCATGCCACCTCTGGACTAAGTTTTTTTGTATTTTTAGCAGAGAAGGGGTTTCACTGCATTGGCCAAACTGATCTCAAACTCCTGACCTCAGGCAATTCACCTGACTCGGCCTCCCAAAGTGCTGGGATTACAGGTGTGAGCCACTGTGCCCGGCCTAAGTACGACTTCTTAATGACACTGATTAAACCAAGATTTCACCCATTATCACTTGACCATGAAAACAGAAAAGGTATATTGCAAGATTTAAAAACAAATACATTGTGCCAAACACAAACACTTACGTTTCTTCTGTTAGAAGTCCTTGTTATTCTACTGACTTTAGAAGACGCTATTTTCTCATGGTTATTTGAAGAACTAAAGGTATCAGTGCCTGATAAACAAGACAAAAGCCGAATCAAAGTAGGGAAACACAAAATTTTAACATGGATCTTCCTTTGGAAACACTCTGTTTAGGATATTCATCTTTAATGCCATATCTCAACAAAAATAAGAGGAACCAAGCGGCACAAATTTTGAAATCCAGTATTTTTTTCATTTAAAAAAACTTACTGGATACTCAAACTTTCACCACTTTCCATGGTGACTGCTTAATGTATTACCAAGCTAAGATAGCAGAATAAATCACATTACAATAAATGCATATTATTTTCACAAATGTCCATTTATTCCAAGATACATTTTGTATACTGAAATGACAAAAAGGACATTAAGATAACCATGAAAATACTTATTTTGTTTTAAATTTTATTTAAAGTGTAGAAATTTTATTTTGACCACATTTTTATTTGAGATGGAGTGTCATTCTGTCACCCAGGCTGGTGTGCAGTGATGTGATCTCAGCTCACTGCAACCTCCACCTCCCAGGTTCAAGTGATTTGTCTGCCTCAGCCTCCCAAATAGCTGGAATTATAGGCATCCACTACCATGCCTGGCCTTTTTTTTTTTTTTTTTTTTTTTTTTATTTTTAGTAGAGA